TAAATCCTAACTCGCCACTGGACTGCAAGGTCAGTTTGAACTGCAAGGTTAGTGATTCAAATCCACCAGCCACTCCCTGGAAACCCTATGCAGGGGTCACTATGAGTTGGGCGGAGTACTGGTATGATGCTGTGGGTTAATGTGCTAGACTACAAGATCACTTTGAACCACAAGGTCGGCAGTTCAAGTTCCTCAGAAACCCAATGCAGGTCGCTATGGGTTGGAACTGACTCAACAGCACTTAACAACAACAACATGAGTCGGGCACTGACTCAATGGCACTTAACAATAAAAACAACAACAACACCTGTGGTTAGATCCATGGTGAAATAGTAGGTTAAGCACTGGACTGCTAACCACAAGGTCAGAAGTTTGAACCCACCTGCTGCCCTGCAGGAGAAAGATAGGACTGTCTGCTCCTATAAAGACTGACAGCCTCGAAGATCTACATTCTCGAAATCTAAGGGAGCAGTTCTACTCAGTGCTGTAGGGGTGCTACGAGTTAGAACCGACTCAATGGCAGTGGATTTGGTTTGGGTTTGGGTTTATCCCCATGGTTAAACTCCCATTTGTGAATAACTTCACTTTGTTAAGAAGCTGTATCAGTGGAGGGTATGATTTTGAGCCAATCACCACTGAGCTATAAAAAGAGCAGATTAGGCTTAGAAAAGTTAGTGTGTAAAGATGGGCAGAGGGGACGATGGAAGTCGAGCCACATGAGATCTCCAAGGAACCAAGAAAGAAAAGCTGACAGAACACAAGGGCTTTCCCGCAGGGCCAACCCAGAGTCTTCCCTTAAAGACGGTGGCCTGAGTTCAGACTTCTAACCTCCGTAACTATGAGGAAATAAAATTTTATTTATTAAAGCCACCCACTATCGTGGTAATTTTGTTGTAGTAGCAATATGTAACTAAGACAAACTGCTAATTCAGAAAACTTTAGCCAAGTATTTATTGGTAGTCCATCAAATAATCATGTTGTACTCTCCATTAACCTGCGATATGCAGATGATACAACCTTGCTTGTTGAAAGTGAAGAGGACTTGAAACATTTACTGATGAAGATCAAAGAGCACAGCCTTCGGTATGGATTACATCTCGATGTCAAGAAAACAAAAATCCTCACCACTGGACCAATAAACAACATTCTTATCAACGGAGAAAAGATTAAAGTTGTCAAGGACTTCAGTCTTCTTGGATCAACTATCAACACTCATGGAAGTAGCAGTCAAGAGATCAGACGACGTATTGCATTGGGCAAATCTGCGGCACAGGAACTTTTTAAAGTGTTGAAGAGCAAAGATGTCAGCTTGAGGACTAAGGTGCGCCTGACCCAAGCCATGGTATTTTCAATAACCTCATATGGATGTGAAAGCTGGGCAGTGAATAAGGAAGATCGTAGAAGAATTGATGCCTTTGAATTGTGGTGTTGGAGGAGAATACTGAAAGTGCCATGGACTGCCAAAAGAACCAATAGATCTGTTTTGGAAGAAGTGCAGCCAGAGTGCTCCTTGAGGCCAAGATGGCTAAGCTTCGTTCGTCTCTCATGCTTTGGACATATTGTCCAGAGAGAACAGTCGCTGGGCAAGGATGTCATGCTGGGTAAGGTAGAGGGTCAGAGAAAAAGGGGAAGACCCCTAAGGAGATGGATTGGCCAGGTGGCATTATTGATGGACTCAAGTGTGGCAGCGGTAGTGAGATTGGCCCAGGATCGGACATTGTTTCATTCTGCTGTGCATGGGGTCGCTATGAGTCGGTTCTGACTCGATGGCAACTGACAACAACAACAAACTCTCTATTTTAAATATGTTTTTATTTCAGAAATTTAAATACATAATTGAACAAACTCTTCTTTCCCACAAGTTTCACTCAAAACTATTATCTAAGAATCAGCACCTTCCTAAGTAATGATCGGAATTCATCGATTCAACTGTAATGTTGGACTGAATGACGAAAAAATGGTCACAATTTAAAAAAAAATTTTTTTTTTAATAGTGTATTCAATGGAGAAAAAAGTATTTATAGTCTGAAGATTTTCTGATTCACGAGATTATTTTTTTCTATAGCATAAGGATTTATAACTATAAGCATTATAAAACCTAACATGACTAAGCAAATATAGCTTTTGAGATTATTATTTTTTTAATGTTTTATTGTGCATTATGTGATACTTTACATGGGAGAATGTTAGTTTTACATTCATCCTATCCTATATCGTTTCATTGCCACTGCTAAAATCCCCTCCACGCATCATCAGCCAACCCCGAGATTATTTTTTTCCTCAAGAATATTTTCCAAAAGTAGTTTTAATTTTCTGTATCATATGTTCTAGAATAATAGGCCCATGAACTTTTCTGGCAGAGTAAAGAGATTCTAACAAGGAGCTCTGGTAGCGTAGTGGTTACAAATCGGGCTGCAAACCTCAGGGTCAGCAGTTCGAAACTACCAGTTGTTCGCGGGAGAAAGATGAAGTTTTCTGCTCCCATAAAGATTTACAGCCTCGGAAACTATGTACAGGATCGCTATGAGTCAGAAACGACTCCACGGCACATAACACCAACAACAACAAACAGTGGATACTCAGAGGGTAGTGGAGTAGGGCTGCTATTACTATTTGGTGGACTTCTGAATTTTATTGAATTTTCAAACAGAACAGGGATTATCCGGCATACTATTTTTTTACTGTCTTTATAAATTTAAGTATTGTTAAATGTTATAAAAGAAGCAAATAATAAAGAGTGACGATAATAATTTGTCAATCATCAACATTATGATTAATTAGCACGTTACCCTATAGCATAAACACTGGACTGCTAGCCACAAAGTCAGCAGTTCAAACTCACCAACCACTCCTTGGGAACCCTGTACAGAGTTGCTATGAGTCAGAACTGACTTGATGGCACTTATCAACAACAACATACTCTTGTAACTGTTATTCAATCCTAACAACCTTTGTTCTGATAAACACACCAGCGATAAAACCACTTAGGCAAAGCAGCTCTGCAGCCAATAAAAAGAGCTAGGTGGGGTCCCAAGTTTGTAGGACTTATGAGAAGGCTTCTAAAGGTTTTGTGGAAAAAGTTTACTACCTTTTAACTCTATGTTTCCAGAAAACTTTTGAAGCCATATAGCCAGTTATGAGCTAATACAAGCTATCCATTAAAAAGTCACAGTGTGGCACATGGTACAGTATTCCTGGTTAGGAACTGATATTCCATATTCTTAACCCTATGAATTATAATTCGAATGTCAGGGAGGTTCTGTATACTAAAATTTTTCATGGAGCATCTGGAAAATAGGAGACAGACTAGACAGGTATAAAGAATGGCCAGTCAAATGGGTGAGGGCAGAGTTTCAGAGAAGTGTGAGAAAAAGAGGAAAAACAGCAAGGAAGTGCTCCAGGATAGTTAGGCACAAGTGAAGACTGGCTCTCTATTTAAATGACCAGTTGGCAGGCAGACTATGTTGCTTTAAGTGGGGTGCTACAGAGAGAATCAACAATGTTCTTCTACAATTTATGTTATTTAAGTCTTACGTTTTGTTATCGTTAAGTCGGTTCCGACTCATATTGATCCTGTATAGGGTTTCTAAGAAGCGGTTGGTGGGTTGAACTGACTACCTTGTGGGTTAGCAATCAATCCTACAGGATGGACCAACAAACCAAATTTGGAAATCCTTATACAAATACAGTGAAATCTGTGAGAGCTGGAACTCAATGGGACTATGTTGTTTTTCCAGGTCTCCCAAGTTTTCTGCCTTTGACAGGGTGCAGTCTTACCACTTTTGTATTGCCCGTGTTAGTGGAAAATTTGTCCTTCTCTGGCAGGTTTCCACCTTACACAGCTTCCTACTTTCACAGGTTTTACTGTAATGGTGGTGGTGGTGTGCCATGGAGTCAGTTCCAACCCATAGTGACCCTGTACAGGGTTTCCGAGGCTGTAAATCTTTATGGGAGCAGAAAGCCTCATCTTTCTCCCGCGGAACAGCTGGTAGTTTCGAACTGCTGACCTTGCAGTTCACAGCCTGATTCATAACCACTACACTACCAGAGCTCATTTTTACTGTAATACAATAGTGTAGTGCAATTATCAAATTTGTATAAAATGACTTATCTCCACTAAAATTAAGACACACAAATGCATCTGCTTTACCTAAACAATGCTGATATGAATCAAAGCAAACTGTCAAGTAAAAGATCAGACCAAAAAATCCCGTGCTCTGACTTTGTTGTTGTTGTTGTTAAATGCCATAGTCAGTTCTGACTCACTGTGATCCCATACAGAGTTTCCAAAGAGCGGCTGGTGAGTTTGAACTGCGAACCTTGTGGTTCAAACTGATGTTATGGTCTAGTGCGTAGCCTAGTGCCACTGAAGGGCACTGAATTAAAGACAAGTTGTTGTTGTTAAGTGCTGTCAAGTCAGTTCTGACTCACAGCAACCCTGTATAGGGTTTCCAAGGAGTGGCTGATGAGTTTGAAACTGCTGACCTTGTGGCTCAAACCAACCTTTCAGTTCAGTGCTTATCCTACAGAGCTAAAAGACTGAGCATTAAGAGAAGGAAATGAACACCACCAAGCTAGACACACACATTTACAGGTATTAATACTTACAATAACCTCCTGAGGTAACACTACTAAAGCCATCTTGCTGATAAGGAAACATAGGCTCACACTGCCTGAGGCCCCACCACTAGGAGGAGAAGACACCATCTTCAATTTCAAAGACAGTCCAAAGGCAGAGCCCTCACTTGCTCTTTGACCCATACCTCTTACCTCAACAAAAACGAACATGCTAAAGTCAAAGGGTTAGAATCACTGAGAAGCAATCCAGGCCTCAGTTATTTTTTTCTTGTCAAGAAGTTGGTAAAGGATAAAACAGCACAGAAGAACAGAATGTATTCCTGTGTTCTCTCTGACTCTAAGCTACACAGCGCCACCTACTGGGGCATGCAAGGTCATGGTTCACTAAAAGTCAAGCTTTTGCTATATACCAAATTATTTACCTGAGGCAGAAGCAAAGCAACCAGGGATGTGGGGAGACCAGATTGTGCTGTAAATGACACTTTCATGGCCTGTAAAAGTGCACAGTGACTTTCCAACAGTTGGATCCCACTACAAAGAAATAAGTCAATTACTAAGTGGAGATATATGCTCTAATATATACTCTATATAATAAACACAAAACATATATATAAGTATACATATAACATACTTATTTTAAGAATTCTGTAAGTCAATTTTTATACAAAGCAAAACATCATTTAAGGGGCCCAAACAATCAATGCTGAGCTAATTATTAGTTTACAGCCAAAATATTAGGCCATTTTAAGTTATAGTAAATGTTTTAGTATTTCTAAGAAAAGATTAGGTGTCCAGTTGAAAAGCTACAGAACTATGCTTTGGAAAAGAACAGAATTCAGTGGAGGCTCTAGGGAAGGAGTGCTTGTTTTTAAAAACGGTAAAGCTGACATACCAGTTTGACAGTTTGATCCCATGAGCCAGACACCACAAGCTGTTCACCTCTGGTTTGGCTCCAATCAACACTATAAACCTAAAAACACATTTTAGAGTGTCATTGAGAAAGCAAAAGAATATCAAGTTCAATATTGCATGTTTCCTCTTTATACAGTGATAGCCAGTTAGAACACGTGGTTGAAACATCAGGTCAAGTCCAACTAATCTCAACCTGGTGGCTTGCCCATCCCTCCAGACTTACTCCATTCCACTTTAATAGAATTCTACAGAGTATTTCAATACCTTCTTCACTAAAACAAATTATACACATTTTTAAACCTACCAACAAATCACTGTTTGCAGCACCTTGAAGAAATGTCAAAGCAGATTAGAAAGTTAGTCATCTGAAAAAGCTTGCTGGGCCAATGTTTATCAGAAAGCATTAAAATTCAATTAATATCCATATCTGGCCTTTCCTAGAAAAAGCTTATAGAAACCAGGTGATCCTTTCAGATCTCTTGGTAAACAGCTTTAGTTATGCTGGGCTTCTCTTCTAATCTCTGCCTCACTGCTCTCAGTGAACCATTTCAAATGAGCATGTGAAAAATTATGAAAAATTTCATTTCCTTTTGTCATTTCATACAAAAGGCTATAATCTTTACATGGAACAGACAGCTACATCTCTTCCCCATGGCTGGTGGGTTCAGACCACTGGCCTTTCAGTTAGCACCTGTAACACTAGGGCAACTTGTTGTTGTTAAGTGCCATCCAGTCAATTCTGACTCACAGACACCGCGGACAGGGTTTCCGAGGAGCAGCTGGTGGGTTTGAACCACCAGCCTTCTGGAAGCAGTACAGTGTTTATCCTACAGCGCCACACCATGGACTCCATTAGCAAGCCTTTATTGCGTACTTACTGTGTGCTGGATGTTGTTACTAACACTTTACATATTTTATATCATTGGTGGTACAGTGGGCTAAGCACTGGGCTACCAACCAAAAGGTCGGCAGTTTGAACCCATCAGCAGCCCGTGGGAGAAAGCAGACCGTCTGCTTCGGAACCCTTAGGGAGCAGTTCTACTCCATCTTATGGGGTGTCTGTAAGTCAGACTGACTGAACAGCACTGAGCTGGCTGGGTCTATGAGGTAAATTCTATGCCAAGGTTCAAAATGGTTACATAACTTAAGTCCAAGTTCCCAGATCTAGTAAGCTGCAGAACTGAAATCTGAACGTGGGCAGCCTAACTGCACAACCCATTCTCAGTGGTCATGCTACAGGATGCTGGGTGGGGGCACTGCTTGGAGTCTTGGGACTTCAGGATGACTTCAGGTCACAGTATCAAGGAAATAAAGCCCTGCCCTTGCTGGTCTCTTCCTACCGGAGTTACGTTTAGGCCCAGGCTGATTTCAGTTTGCATTCATGGACTGTCTTTACCCAGGAACTCAAAGCCCATGCTCACTTTGTTAACTAACTACTGCTCACCCTTCAAGACTTGGATCCATGATCTCCTTTATGAAATAAGGTCCCTGGACATTCCGCAAAGAGTAAGCTGCTTCCATCTGTGCGTTCCAGTAGTATCTTTTACCTACTTCTAATTTGGTGCTTAACATATTTCATTAAAATTAACGTAAAATGACTACAACACTGATAAGATTTTGCAAACTACTCATAAGCAACACCATCTTGGAATCTCTCACCTCATCATGATATCATAGGCACATGATAAATGTTGGTTTTAATCAAAGTAATTATCTTCTTACCACTCATCTGTGAATTTGTACTATAGTGGCTCTGATGCTAGAAGCTATGCCATCGGAATTTCAAGCACCAGCAGAGTCACCAATGGTGTGGACAGGGTTCAGTGAAGCTGCCAGACTAAGACAGACTAGGAAGAAAGGCCTATCAATCTACTTTAAAAAATCAGCCAGTGAAAACCTGAGGGATCACAGAACATCCTCTGAGACTTCCACTCATTTACGACTGATCACTGGAGAAGAGTATGAAGCTTGATAAAGTGGAGGGCCAGCGGCAGCAAGGAAAACCGTCAATGAAATGGATTGGTGCCATGGCACAGTAATAGACTCGGGCACACCACAATCCTGAGGATGGCACCGCACCAGGCAGGTTCATTCTGTGCTACATGGAGTCACCATGTGTCGAAGCCGACTTGATGGCAACTAACAAGACTCTATTTTCACAACCTAGACAGCTGATAAGTAGGCATACTGTTATTGTGGTGGTGTGCTGTAGAGTCAGTTCCAAGCCATAGCTACTTTCATTTCAGAAGGTAAGTCAATCAATTACACATACAAAATCACTTTGCCCAGCTTGGATTCCTCTGCCTCAGCACACCTCCAGACGTGATGCAGGAGCAGAATCTGTATGACGTCTCACTCTCTAGTTTCAGAGAACAGAAGACAGGAGGTAAGAGGAGGGACCCAGGGCAGAGATGCTACTACCACCTGCCTTTTCTACCACCCAGCAAAGTGGCGAGCACTAGGACCCTGAGGCAAAACTACAGAGAGGACACACATTGTAGCGAGGCTAAAATCCAGAAGAAAATACAGGAATGTCAATAAATATTTCCTTTATTTTTACTGTATTTCATAGTAATTAAAAAGAGTGAAATTCCTAAAAGAATAAAATACCCAAGAATAAATTTGACTAGGTATGTGAAAGATTTGTATTGTAACACAATGCGGAAAGAAACGGGAAGACCTAAATCACTGAAGGGAGTTTATGTTCATGGATTGGAAGAGTAATATTGTTAAACTGTTAGTACTACCCACAGTAGTATCTAGATTCAATGGAATCCACATTAAAAAAACAACTTTTTACGTGGATTTTTTGAAGAAATTGAAAACCCAATCCTTAAATTTATATGGAATGTTGTTGTTGTTGTGTGCCATTGAGTTGGTTCCAATTCCTATTGTTATTGTTAGGTGCCATCAAGTCAGTACCGACTCATAGCGACCCTATGCACAACGGAATGAAACACTGCCCAATCCTGGGCCAACCTCACAATTGTTACCATGCTAGAGCCCATGGATGCTGCCTCTGTGCCAATCCATCTCACTGGGGGGTCTTCCTCTTTGTCTCTGACCCTCCACCTTATCAAATATGATATCCTTCCTCCACTGACTGGTCCCTCGTCTGTCAGTTTGTCATACTGTGGTGGCTTGTGTGCAGCTGTGACTCTGGAAGCTATACCACGGGTATTTTGAATACCAGCAGGGTCACCCATAGAGGACAGGTTTCAGCTGATCTTCCAGACAGACAGACTAGGAAGGGGGGAGACGGACTACTTCTGACTATTCAGTCACTGAACACCAAATGAATAGCAGTGGGACGCTACCCAACTCAGAGCAGCCCTGTACAGCGTTTCGGAGAGTAGCTGGTAGTTTTGAACTGCCAACCTTGCAGTTACCAGTCCAGTGATTTGTTGTTGTTAAATGCCGTCAAGTTGGTTCTGACCCATAGGGTTTCCAAGGAGCAACTGGTAAGCTTGAACTGCTGACCTTACAGTTCAAATGGCTTTGCAGTCTGGCGCATTAACCCATAGCACCACACCAGGACTCGTGATGTTGTTGTAGTTGTTGAGTGGCATCGAGTCAATTCTGACCCATAGAGACCCTGTATAGGACTCGTGATGTTGTTTTTGTCAGGTGCCTTCAAGTCGGAACCGACTCATAGCGACCCCATGCACAACAGAAGGAAACAATGTCCGATCCTGGGCCAACCTCACTACCGCTGCCACACTTGAGTCCATCAATGATGCCACCTGGCCAATCCATCTCTTTGGGGGTCTTCCTC